CCATTTTACAGCCTTTAACGGTGGAAAGCCCACGCTTAGCTCACAGGCTGTACAAAAACAAGGGTGGGGGGATCTAGCCCCCGGGCCATAGTTTGCTGACCTGGCATCGCACATCAGAGTGGAAGAGCTCAGTTACCATCCCATCAGCGATTCTGACATCTCCTTATTTACAGGGGAGGACATTAAGGCTGGGAGCCCTTAGGGGACATGTTCAAGGTCACACAGCTCATTAGCGAAAAGGCCAGGATGCAGGTCTAGGAGGAAGTTAAAGGGAACATTCGAGGGGAGGAAACATGGGAACTGAGTGGGCCCCACTGGCTTCCCCATTGCACCCCCACCCCCACCCCGACCCCTCCAGGCCCCTCTCTCTCACCATCAGGTCCGGGGGGAACAGGGCGTGGGTCATCCTGGCGATGTTCTCCAGGGAGAACTGGAAGGAGCAGTTGAACATGCGGAAGTCGTGGAAGATGGCGGGGCAGTCCCGGGGGCAGATGTCCTGCTGGCCGCTGAAGGTGGAGATGGTGATGGAGTCGGTCCAGAAGGCGCAGGGCTGCATGCCCGTGAAGCCGCCGTCGATGTACCGCTGTGGGGGCAGAGTGAGAAATGTGCGCCTGGCCACAGGGCCTCTCCCCACGCGGGGAGGACACAAGGACAAGCCCTACACTGAGGCCCGGGGGCTGGGTGATGGGCTCAAGGTCACTCGGGTCCAAGCTGCCCCTCTGCCGAGCCAGGCACCCTGACCGGCCACGTGTCCACCCTCCAGGCCCTTCCCCTCTGGGGTTTCGGTTCCTCAGCTGAGAACAAAGGTGCTGACCCTCTGGGGTCACTGAGAACTACACCGACATGCAAGCTGGGCTCCATCTAGAGCTGAACCTTGTCCGGACCTCATTTTCTCCGTAAGATGAGGAGGGGGTGGGCTAGACCCTCTGATCGGAGTGTGGTCTGGGGACCAGCAGCGCCGGCTCAGCGGAAGCCCGTTCCAGGCGCAGTCTCGGGCGCTGCCCCAGACCTACTGGGGCAGGGTTTGCATTATTTTACAAGATCCCTGAGCGATTCGTGGGCACGTGGAAGTTGGCGAGGCACTAGCCTAGATGACCTCAAAGGTCCCCATCACTCAGGTTCCAGGTCCCCACGGTGCAGGGCCTGTGTCCTGGGCTCCCTGTCAAGCCTGGGAAAGTCTGTAAAGTCGGAGGCATCTTGATTTGCTGGGCTCAGTAATGGGTTGGTGCACCCAGAGAGAAGCCCAGCCTAGTTGGGAAAGTTCCTCTTAAGGCCCCAGAAGTCCATCTACTATATGGGGAATTCTGAGCAGGAAAACATAAGAACTTTTCCAATTCCTGGTGTTCCCGCCAAATTCTGAGACCACCCCCTGCTGTCCCAGCTGTGGTCTCGGGGCCGAGGCACCCCTGGGCCCCGGCTCAGCCCCGCCCAGCTTCAGTACTCACCACACCGCGGTAGGTCGGGGGGATGAGGCCGCAGTACACAGGGACAAAGCAGCTGCAGTACAGGGCCTGCGGGGGGAGAACAGGGCTGAGACGCCTGAGGCCCTGGGGGCTGGGGGTACCTGCAAGCCCCCGGGACACGGCCAGCCACGCTTTCCTTAAACCTAAGGTGGAGGCCCTGCCTTCCTCCCAGTCCAGTCCCTGTCCTGGCCCTGACTAGCTGGGTCCTTGGTGACAACTTGGTCACAGCTTAAAAGGCAGAGGGTGACCTCAGTGATCTCCAGGGTCCCTTCTGGGACCAAAGTTCCATAAATCCAATGGGATTCCACCACCATCACTGTGCATCCGGCTTGGGCCAGGTCCTGGCATCAAAGGAGGGTGAGACACCCACCCTTGGGAATGCTGCAAGAGGGGAGTAAGCAAGCAGGTGACAGTACAGGTGACAGGTGCTGTGGGGGAGGTGAGCATGGGCATTGTGGCCCCAAAGGAGGAGCACCCAGCTCAGGGGGTTGTGGGGCGGGCAGATGGAGGAGAGTTCCAGCAGGCATGACTGGAGTCTTCTACGGCAGGTGAAGGGGAGTGAGAACGAGAGAAGGGCATCCCTGGCGGAGGGCACAGCAGGTGCAAAGGCACGAAGACCTGCTTGGTGTGTGGTCTGTGCTGGTTGGCCAGGTAGACGAGGAAGGTGGTAGGAGGCTGGAGAGGAAAGTCTTGAAGAGCTGGTGCCAACAAACCCAGGGACACGAGGTGGCGGAGGAGTATCCACGTGCATTGCCTATTCACCCTCCACCCAGGATCATGGCCAGGCCAGTGTGGGGATAAGAGGATGGGTGGCAAGGGCCTTGTCGTCAGAGGAGGGAAGGGGAATAGAAATGTGGGACAGAGTCATGCAGCGCAACCCCTTTGTCACGAAAGAAAATTGGGTCCACCCCCAGCCCTCCCCAGCAAGAGCAACCCAGCTAAGAGCTCTGTTAATGAGGCTAGAACAGTGCAGCTTTGTGTGTGGTTTGCTCTGGTTGGCACAGGTAGACGAGGAAGGTGGTAGAAGGCTGGGGAAGCAGGACCAGCCTGCCCTCCAACCTGCCCTTCCGCACGGCACTCTAGCACCGCCCCCCACCCCACAGCCCCGCCCCCACCCATAGCCCCGCCCCCACTCCACAGCCCCGCCCCACTCCACAGCCCTGCCCCCACCCCACAGCCCTGCCCCTATTCTACAGTCCCGCCCTACTCCACAGCCCCACCCCCACTCTACAGTCCCGCCCTACTCCAGGCCCCGCCCCCACCCCACAGCCCTGCCCCTATTCTACAGTCCCGCCCTACTCCACAGCCCCACCCCCACTCTACAGCTCCGCCCTACTCCACAGCCCCACCCCCACTCTACAGCCCCGCCCTACTCCAGGCCCCGCCCCCACCCGGCCCCGCCCTCTTGCCTCGATGAGCTCCTCCTTGGACGTGTACTCGGAAACCACCACACTCTCTCCATCGGTGAAGCGGGTGAGGCTCACGTGCAGCCTCCCGGTGGCGGCCTTGTAGGAGTCCTCAGGCAGGGCCTGGTACAGGAACTGCCGCATCATCTGCACCATCCTGCAGGAGGGCGCCAGGGGCCCCAGGAAGGACTTCTTCACCTCGGCCACGCCCACGTTGAGGACTCGGAGGTACTCATCTGTGGAGGAAGCAGAGAGGAGCGGGAGCTCAGCGGGCCGTGGCCCAAGGGAGGTCAACGGTGATTTCCCGTCTCATCCTGCCGCCAGCAAATGGGAAGACCTAGAATTCTGAGGCAGGGAAGGGACCCACCTGTCATTTGCTCAGAAGGAAAGCAGGCACGGTGGAACCGAGTCGCTGGCCCCCAAGATCCCAGGGCAGAACGAGACCCAAGCACCCCAACTCTGCTCACTGAGACAAAGGACCACTTTCCGACCCCAGGAGCTTTCCCAGCTCCCTCACATGCCTGCTGTCCCCCAGCAGACGGCATTCTTTTGGAGTCTTAGAGACTTTTTGTCCTGAGATTCCCATCAAAACACACACACACACACACACACACACACCACTGACACAGTGGAAAGCCTTCACCAAGTGACACCTGGGACACGGGCGTAGTGCCAGCTGCATCTGTGTGCAGGGAGGGAGTGTTGGCCTTGGGGCAGCTGAATTACAGGGAGGGGTGAACTTTGTCCTGAGACTATTGCATCATCTTCCCTTCCTGGCCCCCAATAGGCCTGAAAGGAGAGGGTCCTGAACCCTGGAGACGGCTGTGCCGGGCTGCCCTGCAGGCGCCCAGGAGGGGGACACCTTCTCCTCCTTTTGAGAGGAGCACAGCCCGGGCACCGGTGCCAGACAGGCTCGGAGGGCAGGTGTGTTGCTCAGGGGGTGGCAGCGGGAGGTGTAAGTTGCCTCCAGGACCCTGAGAATCCCACCAGGGAAGCTGGGTTGTAGACTTGCTAAGACGTGCGATGGTGCTGGGGCCGCACAGCATTACTCTGAGGCAGGCATCCCGCTGGTCAGGAAGCGGAGGCTCCGAGAGCTGATATAACTTGCCCCGGGTCAACTATGTGGTACGTGGACAAAGTGGGCTTTTAACCTCGAGTGCCCCCGGAACCCATACTCCTTCCACTAAACTAAGCTGCAGGCTCCCAGAGTCCGGCCTGTACCTGCGTCCTGCCCATTGTTGCTGTTTTCGACCTGGTGGAAGCTCCCTGGGAAAATCAGGAGTGGAAATGGCTCTGAAAAGGGCTGCTAACGCTTTAAACAAACATTTAATTGTAAAACCTCCCGTACAGGAGAGCATCCTCACAACCAGCATCAGGCAGCAATGGCTGTTTGGGAGGCTGTGTGGTCATGAGCTCTCTGCCGCTGGAGGTAATCAAGCAGAGGCAGGAAAAGCTCCCCAGTCAGAGAGCTCGCTCATCAAAGGGGATCCTGGGTGGACCGTGAGGGCTAAGATCCCGTCTCATGATGAGATTCCGGGATTCTCACCAGAGCCCGACCACGTCTCCGGGGAGGCATGGCGGCGAACCTGTTCTCCATTTACAAATAGAGCAGCTGAGGCACAGGGACCTTAAGTGATTTGCAGCAATCGGGGGACAAACCAAAGCTGGTGATGCGCTCCTCCTCCTGTGGTTTACAGGTCCCAGGCAGGTCCTCCCTAATCCTGGAGGTGGACAGGATAAGGAGCGTCCGCCGCATTCCTCAGACCCAGAAACCGAATCAGGGAAACCCTGCGTGTCCTCCCTGAGGGGAGAGCACCGGGCAGTGTTTGCTCTGACTCCCGCCCACCGTCTGTCCCTGGGTGTTGGACTGATCCCAGAGGCTGGGGAGCCTGGGTTGCCATGGCAACAGCCTTTTCTCACCAACGAGTAGAATCCCAGCTGCGTATGTGCCGTAGGGACGGGCCTGCGCAGCAGAGCATCTCAGCTGTCACCCTTTAGGGGGGAGGCCCTGCCGTGGTGGCGAGGTTAGCGTTACCATGTGCCGACTGATACAAACAACATTTCCCTGAAGGGAGGAGGCAGCCAACCCACCAGCAGGTCATGAAACAACTGGGCATTCGGATACCAAGGTTTTGGGTCGCTGAGCTCTCTCCTACAAGACCAGCGGGATGGGGAGTCGAACCAGGGTGAGGATGTGCTGTTTTGGGAAATGTTTTTCAATCCTCACTTGAGGATACGTTTTTATTGACTTTAGAGAGAGAGGAAGGGAAAGGGAGGGAGAGAGAGGGGGAGAAACATTGATCTGTTGCCTCCTGCATGTGCCCCGAATGGGAATCAAACCCGCAGCCTGGGTATGCGCCCTGATCAGGAACCGCATCTGCAGCCTTTCAGTGTACCTGACCATGCTCCAACCAGCTGAGCCACTGGCCAGGCTGCTTTTGGAATTCTTAATGAGCAACCTGAAGTGGTCACAAAGGAGTTGGTGGCCTTCCCACAATGCCTGGGAGCCAGGAGCACCCAGCTCTGTTTGCCCAAACGCTCCTTGGACTCCCAGCAAGAGGAGCTCACTGGGACCGATGGAAGGACGTTTGTGCTTATTGCACAAGAAATAAATGTTCACGGTGGGAAAATTGCTTTAAATGAAGATAAGCAAAAGGAAAAGATTAAAACGACTTGGAATCCCTCCACCCAGAGATCAACATTTGGTTTATGTCTTCCTACACTATATATTTTATATTTATTCTTACTTACAAAATACTTTTATGGGGTCAATCTATCTACATTATTTTGTAACTTGCCTTTTTCACCTAGTAAATCATGTCTTTCCCATCAATAAGTACCCACTTAGAACCTCATTTACAAGCAGCATGGAAAGCTACTGTAAGGCTATGAGATTATTTATTGGGCAGGTCCCCTGGAGGAGTTGAATATTTAGTTTGTTTCCTTGCTTTTATAAACAATGCTGCAATTAATAATCTCATGCTAAATTCTTTGCCTGTGTCCTTCCTTATTTTCCTCAGGATGGGAACAGAGGTGGGGGTGCTAAAGGCCTGTGTACATTTAGCCTCATAATGCTTATTTTGATCATGGCTTTTGTGTAATATCCATTTAGAGTCAACTCAGCTGTTCAGGGGTGGTGGTGACAGGGACTGAGCAGTGGCCAAGATAATAGAAATAGTATCGACATCTCCAATATAGTAGTTACACCTGGAAGCTAGCAACGCTCTAGCCAGTATCACATATCCAGGAAGGGAGGGGACAGGACATTGTCTGATTTCTCCCACTCAGGTGCCTAGTTTAATATTCTCTCCTGCTGCTCACGGGGGATTCGTACCAAAGGATGCCTTTATCTCCGCTTCTCCTTGCTTCTCTTCAGGTCCGCCTGTGTGTCTCTGTCTTCAGAGCCTCTCTCTCTCCCCCTCCCAACCCCCTTCTCTCTCTTCCTAGCTGAGGCAAAAGCAACTAGTCTTCTGGTTAACAAGTCTCTGTTGGGAGAAAGTCGCATGCTAAGCATAGCAAGTGCTGGGTGCTGTGAGGAGGGGAAAATTTAGCTTGCTTCTCTATGCATCTGTCCTTTCCAGCACCTTCTCCCATTTAAAGGGCTCCTTCCAGGCTGCTGGGCTCTGAGACACCGTGTCCCACACAGACCGCAGCCGGGCGGGATTTGCAAGCAGCACAGCAGGAAACTCAAGGTTGGCTGCTCTCACCCGGCCCACACTCGCCACGTCCTTTCACAACTTTGTGTTATCTGAGGGTGGAGACTGTGCCTCCCCAGCCAAGAAGGAGATTCTCTGAGGGCCGGTCCTTCCCTCCCTCTGTGGCCGACCTGGCGCTCTGCCCATAGAAGGCCCTGGAGCAGCCTTTGTTATAAGCTGGGAGCCCCTCAAGGGCAGGGACGGGCCATACTCACCTACACCCACCAGGCCTCCCACACACTTGGTGGGCCCAGTGATTGTTCAGTGTGTGAACAAAGGAAAATAAGAACCGACAGGGAGGAAAAGCAAATGATGGAGATCCTCGCAAGGAAGGGCTTCCTGACTTAATGACCCAATAAAAGCTTGAAAGCAAGATCATCCCAGACCGATGGCCAGATAGCAGAGTTAGCGTCGGCAAGTGTGGCCCATTCCGCAGGCTTTAGGAATCCATGGTCCTAAAAACTTCAGTAGGGAAATAAATAACCCAGATCCTGGGACTGGGAGGCTTTGAAGCCATTTGGACGCTGCTCCGAATCTGAGTCACTCGTTTCTAAGACCAGATCCATGTCTTGGAAAGAGCTCAGACTGAAGCCAGACAGATTTGGTTCACACCCCAGCTTTGCCGCATACTATCAGGGCAGTCACAGAACTCCTTCCAGCCTCAATGTGCCGTCTAGAAAATGGGACTAATGATACTTACGTTACCGGGTTGCTATGAGGCAGGCATGTTTAAAGTCCCTGCACACAGAAGCGCTCGATATATCAGTGTGCCAGCTACTCCCCAGGCGGCCATGGAAAAGCCACGACATGTTTCTGCCTTTCAGCTTTCCCACCTGAATGGGGCCGTGATTCCTGCCCGGCGCCTCCCCCAGGTGTGCACAGGCTCAGGGTGGGTGCAGAAGAGCAGGGTAAAAGCACTGAGCAGAGGAGGGCTGCACCGGCTTCAGGGCTTGGGGAGGGATGGTGTGATGTAGGATAGGCACAGATGGCCACAGCACTCCTCCCTGTCAACTTGGGGGGCCTACAGAGCCAGCTGGTAAAGGGGGAGGTAGAAAAACCATTGAAGGGAAGGATGTGAATGATTAGATGTGCGTTTATCTTATTTACCTGCTTAAGTGCCTAAAGTTTCCCTCTTCTTGAGAGCAAGGATGGTCTCTGTCTTGCTCGTCCCTTTGTCCCAGCACCTGATACAGCGCCGGAACATGATGGCACTTAATAAACACGAATACATATGTGAATAGTGAATAAATGAGTGAACCCCACAGTCGAAGGAGGACACTGGGGTCCAGGCAGAGAAGCAGCTCAAGGTGACTCAGACTAGAAGCGGCTTCTCTTCCATCCTCCACAGGCCTCTCGCTAAGCGGAAAATCCTAGAAAGACAGGCGCTTGTCAGCTGACAGTTTAAATAGCTGGGGATCCCGTTCAGGGGGTGCCCGAATTAGGTCTCTGCGGAGGAGGATGGGACTGCGCGGGGTAGCCTAGCAACAACCTCCGGCTCAGCCAATCACTGTGAGGCGCCTCCCGCTGTGAGCAGCAGGGAC